AGTTCCCATTTTGCCCTAATTTTATCTCTGGCGGTGAATCTGTGCTGCCCTGCCTTAGGCTTACTCTGCAGGCCCCCAAACATCTGCTCACGAGAAGTTTAGCATCATTCCAGCTTCATGTGTGCATGGGTGACTCCCTGCCCTTTGGATTGAGCTGCAGTCCAAATGAAAACTGAGCCTCAGGAAGGAGCAGCCACAAATTATAGACACATCAGAATTTGGATCATGATAATTATTCTTCAGTAGTCCTTATAAGAAGACAGGAAGCCAATAAGTAGCTCTTTTTCTTTTTCCCCTGACTGGGCAGGGAGAATTCAGAAGCAGATACCTATGTACATTGAGATTTTGTAACGTAATTTTCAGTCTTTAGCTTTAAAGCCCAAGAGAAGGCTGCCATGCATGGGAAGCATTATCACAGTAAGAAAAAAGTCAACAGAATTAATTCAGTCAGGGGAATCATTTATCCTACAAAAAACAAATTATTGTTTTTTAATCCCTTGCTTTTTTCCTAATTGATACATGACTATTCCTTACCCTTTACTCTGTAGCTAGGAAGAAACAGAACACAGTCATTAGCTAATCCCATTGTCTGATCATGCTCAGGAAACAAACCAAATCTCAAAGATGAAGAAACACTACGAAATAGTGATCATCACTGTGGGAGTACCTTGACCTTTACTGTTGAGGAAAGTACAAAGAATATTTCTCTGAAAAATAAACTTAGTTTTCCTGGTAACTTTAGCTTGCATTGTTCAAATATCTTAAAAGCCTTGGGTTTAGTGATAAAAGTAAGTTTTCATCTTTTCATATTTATTTTATCTGAGGTATCTGTATGCAAACTATTCTCTTCAGTTACTGAATATTTCAACAGGAATGCACTACTCAGTACTCTGAGGCTGTAAAATGTCACAAAAACTTTTGAAATCCATTATTATTATCAGTTAGTGGATGTAGCTCAGCGACACCAGTGGTGGTACTCCTGATTTACCTTGGTTTGAGAGAAAGTATGAACAAATTGTCAAAAATCTGTTCTGATAACTGAAACAAAGAAACACTTACGGGACAGAGCTCAGAAATTTTGAATGTTGTTCCTCTTTAAGTATCTAGAAAAGAGAAGAATAAAGGAAGGTAGAATAACACAGTGAGAAAAGGAAATCCCAAACTATTTCCTGAAGTGCCAGCACTGTTTACCTGGCATCTGCTCCATCCTACATTTCTGTAGCTGGAAGTGTAAGCTTGTATCCTTGATTTTACTGGACCTTGCCTCTTTGTCCTTGCTTACCTCCAAAACTGTACCACCTAAAGCCAAAAGTCTGTTTGACAAACTGTCCCACCTCTGGATTTGGGAAACATCAGATGCTTTGGGAAAAAAGTGAGGCAAAGAGCAGGCACTGAGGAATGCTGCCCTTTTTACATTTGTTCAAACTTGCTGCAATCTGTTGTTTTGGAGCTTCCTAAGTCCTAGGGTCACCAAATGATATGTATGTACTTGCTCCTGACTGATTTTTTGCATAAATATATCTGACCACTTTTTGAACTCAATTGTAATTTTGGTCTCCTGTGGTGATGAGACCCACAGCTCAATAATGACTGTTCACCTGGTGTACTGTATCCAGCTGGCTCCCACCTAGAATACTGCACCCAGCTCTGGTCCTCAGTGCAGGAAAAACATGGATCTGTTGGAGCAGCTCCAGAGAAGGAAGGACTACAGAGATGATGAAAGGGCTGGAGCACCTCTCCTATAAGAAAAGGTTTAGAGAGTTGGGGTTGTTCCATCTGGAGAAGTGAAGACTCCAGGGAGATCTTACCGCAGCCTTTCAATACTTAAAGGAGGCTCATAAGAAAGATGAGTATAGATTTTTTCAGTGGGACTTGTTGTGACAGGACAAGGGGTACAGGTTTTAAACTATGAGAGTGTAGGATTCAGAATAAATAAAAGGAAGAAAATTTTTTATGATGGGAGTGGTGAAACACTGGTCCAAGTTGCCCAGAGGATGTGGTAGATGCTCCATCCCTGGAACATTCAAGTTCAGTTTGGATGGAGCTCTAAGCTCAACCATCAACCTGATCTAGTTGCAGATGTCCTTGGCCATGCAGGAGACTTAGACTAGATGACCATATAAAGTCCCTTCCAAACCAAAACATTCTATAATTCAGCAGTGGTTCCCAAACCACTTGTAGCTGACTGTAAAACTAAGAGAATGGGCTGATTTACTAATTTGGATTCACACTATATATACAACATTAGCAGATTAACAGACTTTTGAATTACATCCTTTTGTCTATTTATATCAGTAATCATGTGGGTATGAGAACAGGTCCAGACTGGCTGCTTGTGGATGTGAGGTAAGAAGAGAAAGTTTCTGGTGTCTGCAAAATGGGCCAGAGCCCCAACATAGTATATCTCAGGGAGTCTGAGGATCTGTTTGTGAGATTAGAGAAGGAAATCAAATTCCCCATTTTACTTCAAAGATGTAAGTTGAGACCTCTGGATATTAAATATTTTGACAAATGTTTGGAATGAGTTTTGTTTGTGTAGATAAAGTGTAGTAATTTATAAATATATTATCAAATCAGTTCACTTTATTTGTAATCCTGGTGACAAGCTTTATTCTCTTTGTGTTAAATCTCCAGGGAAAACAACTTTGGTTTTCATTGCAAGACAGCTATTTGACCAACAACAGTAAGGTCATGTATTGTTCAGGAAATGGCTTCTGAGTTCATTTCCCTTCTGTTGTCTGTCAGTCATTGTAATTCTTTACTATGAATTAATGCCAAATAACCTCTTTAAATTAAGATCCTCTTCATTAGAATGAACAGGGAGTGAATCTACTCCACACCCCTTATCCTCTGGGAAAAAGAAAGGGAGAAGGAGCACTTGCAAAGTAGATAATAGAGCTCTGTATTTTGTAAAAAAGTTATTGCCCTTCTTTATTACCACAGCATTATCCAATTGAAGCACCCTTTGCAAAACAGTTTATTCAACTGTGCTCATATAAAGTACTTGTTTAGTTAAAACCTCATATCTTCTCTATTGCTAATTTTGTACTTATGCAATTGGAAGGCTCATCCAATGACCTCGAGATACTGTCTTCCTATTTCCTCACATAAAATGTTTATACTCTGTATAAATATAGTGCCTCTTAACTGATCTTTCAGCATATATTAGTAAAATATACTGTAACCATTATCTCTTATTTATTTATTGCACTGTGCAGATATTTTTATCACTCATAATTCAATCATTAAAAAGTAGAGTGCACTTCCATTTTGATTGATTTGTTGCACTTAAAGCTGTGATGAAAAATTCTGATGTTTGAAATGAGAATAGTTAGCTACCTTGGGACTGAAAAGCGGCCTAATTTTATAGAAACAGCTAATTGATTTCAACATCCTCTCCAAAAAATGATTCCAAGAATTATCCAAGTTTGTTCTCTTCTATGTGCCAGTGCCTTGGTGTGGACCAAGTTCTCAGTAGGTGGAAGAAAATTAATGGGAGATTTCTGTTAAACAAGTTTTTCCCCCAAAAGAATTCACATCTTATTAATTTTTGTATAAATTTCATCTTGGCATGTTGGCTTCCTTATGTTTATAGACCACAAACTGATCCTGATTAAAAAATGTTTCTGTCTCTCAATGGATCTAAGTTTCATATTGTGTGGATGATCACATACTGTATTTTATTTAGTCTGAAGTGATATGTAAAATCTGAGGTCAGACCTGTTTCTGAATGAGAGAGCGCCTCTAAAAGAGGATCAGGGTAATTACTCAGGGTAATTCAGATCCAGTCTTTTGGTTCCTATTGTTATGACTTAAACCCAAGCAGTAGCTGATCCCTACCCACCCGCTTGCTCATTCCCCACTGGTGAGGGAGACAACTGGAAGGGTAAAAGTGAGAAAACTTGTGAATTGAGACAAAGATAATTGAATAGGTAAAGCAAAAGCCGTGCACACAAGCAAAGCAAAACAAGGAATCAATTTCCTGCTTTCCATGGGCAGGCAGGTGTTCAGCCACCCCTAGGAAAGCTGGGCTCCACCACATGGTTACTGGGGAAGACAAAGGCCATCACTTCGAACATCCCCCTTTTCCTTCTCCTTCTCCCAGCTTTAAATGCTGAGCAATGTTTCAGTTTGGGTCAGCTGTCCCAGCTATCTCCCTTTGCAACTCCTTGTGCATTCCCAGTGTGCATTGCTGTGTGGGGGCAAGGAACAGAAATTGCCTTGATGCTATATAAGTGTTGCTCACCAATAACCAAACCATCCCTGTGTTATCAACACTGTTTTCAGCACAAATCCAAACACAGCCCCATACTAGATATTGTGAAGGAAACAAACTCAGTGAAAACCAGCACACAGATCTATCTTGTAACCTGAGGACACCATCTTTGAATGAGACGGAGCAACATTCTTCTACTACTGTAAGTAATGACATCTTTCTCTAAATTTGGATGACTTATAACTCAGTCCATGTAGTCCTTTTTAATGTGTTTGCAGGAACAGTTTTATCTTTAGTAGATCATGTTTTCCAGATGCTCTGAAAAGCAATCTATGGAAAATAGTTACATATTTCAAATGATGGGGCTTTTATCAGAGCATAATCTTTCTGTGCAGACCTTTGCGTTTTAAAAACAAATCAATTACTATGATGCCAGCATGTTTATCATTTCAGTCCTGGCATCTAGATTTGATCTACTAGGTGTGTCTAATTCTCATAAAGCCACAGCTGTGTGAATTGGATTTCCTAGGAAAGTCTGCCATATCTCAGGATTTCAGTGGAATACAGCTTTTGTCTCATTCAACACCTTTGAATTATTCTGAAGACCAGAGCATTTTTATAATTGAATTAAAAGTTACACTGAAGAATGTAAAGCAACACTTCCTACAACCTCAAAGGCTAAAATTTTCCCTTTTGGATTCTTGCTGAAGAACAAGGATGGTTCAAAGTTTGCCTCATTGTTTAAGCCCTGGAGCATGTTTATAGAGTACATTTAAAAATAACCAACAAAAACCCCTTCTTTTTCTGTTTTGCATATAAAGTGCTAGCTTTACCTTTAAATTCTTGCATACAGGTATTAAAGGGAAAGACAGCACTGCAAACTCAGTGTTTCGTTGTCATTTGGGGTTTTACTTAGGTTTTGTTTGTAAGTGGGGGAGTGGTCATAGTGCAATCTACTTGTCTCAGAAACTGCTATTTCCAGCTGTATTGTTAATGTTTCAGGCCCATTTTGATAATAAACTGCCATTTTTAGTTTAGATCAATATGCATACAGTGACTCCTGCTTTGTATACAAGCAGATGCCTGTCTTCATTATGTGAGAATTGAGTAATTGATCCATCTTTATTTCAGTAAGGTTTCAATGTAAAACATCCAATATTAGTTAAATTCCAGAACAAAAAGCCAATAGGCCCTCCATTATGAAGACCCTTTGTGTAAATGACTTGAAGTCAGCCTGAGGGATAACACCACCATCAGAAAGGCAGAGCTCTTTTCTGTCCATTCTCATGTCTGGTGGTGACAGAGGGAGGCTGGCTGTTGAAATCCTTCCATGAAACATTTCAACTCAAATTAAAGCACATTGGGCTGGCACAAAGTGGAGTGAGGTACAGAGGATATGGGGATGGATCTTTTTCTGGGATGACTTTCTGAAGAATTAGAAAAGTTCCTCTCTCATGTAACCAAATCTGCCCTTATCTTTTTTAACTCTTTCCATTCAGAGATTCTCCTCACAATTGTGAGAGAATGGCTCTCACTGAGCTCCTGGATTTCTGCTGGTGTCTTGGTGTCCATCTTAGCCAGAATCATAACCTACTTGGGTAGTTCAATCCAGCTAAGTAGCTTCTGCAATGGAGGTGTCTAGTCAGGGATGATTAGTGACATGTTCAAAGGTCCAGCACCTGAGTCCAAGGCCAGAGATCCCTCATGCAGACCTTGTCTCTTCCTCATGAGTTTGCCTTCCCTCAGGCACTCAGCCATTCAAGCTTTCCTACCATCAGGGTATGACAAGAAGACTTTGATTGGCATTACTGTAGTTTGTGTCAGAGGGCAAGCCAGCAGAAATTCATCTCCAGTGAATGAAAGCAAGTTTAATGGGGCAGAATTAAATAAACTAAAAAGTGAGAAAGTTGACATCTCCGTAGGATGTGGAACAAAATAATCAACTTCTGCCCTCTGATCCAAGGTCCTCAGCTGTTTTAGACAAAGACGACTCAATGCCAAGCAAATTAATGCCAGCTTTGCTAGTTCAGTCTTTGAGGAATTATATTTTCTCACTGCATCCCATAGTAGCATTTTTTAATTTCCTTTCAGTTGTTCTTCTGGATACACACACCCATAAATGGTTCTGTGGAGCCTTTTGGCAGGTGCTTATGCTATACAACAGCAGTGGGCTGTGTGAATGACCTCTTCATCAAATGGAACAGAGTGTCATCTGCTAGGAGAGGGAAGAAGTGGAGTTTAGCCAGGTGGGAGGAGCACTGTGCTGGGGTGGCCACGGGCTGCTTGCACGCTGTTGTGGTGCCCTTCCTTTTGCTGGGCCAGAACTGCGGTACAGTTGAGCCTAGAGGACTTGGGAAGTGAGCCTCAGGTCTTGGCTGCTTTTCCAGCCAAGCCCTACACTGGAATGGGAGATACCTGTTTCCTGTGATTCCTCCCTGAAGGGCCCCCACTCCTCTTCCAGCTCTCTATATCAGGTAACTTCTGGGCCATTTTATGGTTTATGACATACAGACCACCCCTGGCTTAGACTGTGAGATGATTAGTAGGCACGTCACTCACAACAAAGCTGAGAAGAGCACTATTGTAGACTGATCCAAGTGCTGCCCAGCCAATAGCTCTCTCTGTACCTTCAGCTGAGGCATCGGGTCATGGTGAGGAGCAGCTTGTACCTCTTTTGTGACTTTATGTCATGGCCCACAGTTATAAATGCACCTGAACACAATAAGGCTTCTGTACAAGACATGTTTTGGCTGGAGAAGGGGTTGCATTATCCTCTTGTTTCTGTTTATCCTCAAATGGAAAGGAAGCCATCCATCCAGCTGCACTGACTTGTCACACAGAGTTTTTCCAGTGGAGTGCATTTAGAGTACATAACAGCATTTTAGTCTTCAAAGACTGCGTTTCACTCTTACTACAGGGACTGTAAGAAGTATGAGAAGTCACCTAGTTGTATAGAGATGAAGCTCCAAGCACTCCAGTAAAAATGCATTAATTTGAGCTGAACTGAGAAGGCTTATGCTGGGACAAAGAGTGAAAGATATGTCAGCTGGGCTGCCATTGACATCCAAGTGGATGCTGGCCTCATATTTGTGCTGCTGCTGGCCTGTATTATTCACCAATCCACAGTTCCCAAGAAAAAAGCCCTCTGAGCATTAAACCAGCAGCATGGAAAACTCTTGAGTTCTCCTAAAGCATACAGAAAATTTGAGGAAGGCACCAGCCCTGCCCATGGTCAGTTAAGGTGGCCTGTGCATGAATCCTAGTTGTGCTGGTTTTGTGTCTTCTCAGATCAGTGGAACTGCAGCAGAGAGGAACCCACCCTGCCATTTGTTGTTCTGCTATCCCCACTTCCATCTGAAAGCTCTAGAAGAAAACCAAACATAAACTATAATTTACATGCTGGCAACTCAACAGGAGACTAGCTGTTACTTAACTGTAAGAGAAAAAACACCCAATAAAGAATATTTAATGAGATTGGATGGAGGAGAGAAAGGAACATTAGAGGTGCTGACTGTCTTTTAAGATACTTTTCAAGCTTTTTAGCCTTTTACTTTCCTATGACTGTAGCAGGAGTCATGCAACAGAATCCTTCCACAGTGCTTTATAAAATTACTCTACTGGATTTACACTGAGTCTTCCATGGCCTTTCTGACATTGGTTGGCACTTGTCCTAAGCTTTTTTCTACAGAAAACTTGCATCACCTTCTTCTGTGTGCTTCTTTTCTATATAGGTGGTTTTTTTCCATTTTTGCATTGATACTGTATTGATTAATACCTTAGTAAAAGCCTTCTCTGATTGACTTTTTCTAACATTCTTGGCTCTTTAAACTGTTCAGTTCATGTCCTGCAAATCCAGGAAAGATTTCCAGCTTTACTTTGTCTTACATAAAAGGCAGATTAATATCTTGTAGAGCTGTTCATAGGGCAGGTCAGGAATCACTACAGAAAAACACAAAGGAGTAGGAAAGGAGACCAGGCTCTGTTATTTGGAATACACTGGAATACACTGGATGATGCTAGAAGCGGGAGAAAATCAAACTGCATTTTATAGGAAATACACACTGTACGTATTTCAAGAGCAGAGGATCACACACTTCTGGTCAGTCATGAGAAATTCTGCAATATCTTTGGCTATTGTATTGATAGGCTAAAAGATGGAGAGAAGGCAGATAGGAGGGGATTTCTCCTTGTTTGGGTTTTTTGCTTTCCTATTTTCCAAATTATCATACAGATTAAGAAGTGTATAATAATATAATAATGGCCAGTCTTCGCGAGCGAAGATTTGGGAAAGGTCATTAACCCTTCGAGCATGCGCAGTGGATTTTTTAGGTGAGACACAGCGTGCGCTGAACTGAGCCCACCCTTTAATCCTGAGGTTCATCTGCCAGGGCCGAGTGAAACTTGGACAGTGGCAGTGAGGGTCTCAGAACGTAGGTTTGTTTAGAGTGACCTTCTCTTAGATGGATTGCCTCACAGGGCTAACAAGCTCCATCTGCCCGGGGGGGCTGGGAATTGAACCTGGGTCACAGTGGTGAGAGTCCTGCACCCTAACCACTAGACCACCAGAGGCCCCCAAGATTAAGAAGTGTAGTTACTGCTTAAATCTGTGACTGATGTTAACAAGTCATTTAAAAAAAAAAAAAATGAAGCGTCTTCTGCTGATGTTTTCTATCTGAAAAGTAACTGCATTTCAATGCTGTGAGTTTGTTGAAGTAGCTCCCAGTTACCCAAACAGATAAAACCATCTGGTAGGTATAAATATCAGTGATCACATGCCTGGATTAGCACTTGCTACATGGACACCACAATAATCATCCTAGAAATATCCTGACAGCTCTGGAGTAACTGGTAACCCCCTAGGTGCTTATATTTTGCTGCAATAAGGTTTGATAATAAGCAGACCATGTAAGAGGTAGCAGTCTGCTCACAACAGTCTGGTTTGGCAATAGATGTAGCCAGCTAATTAGAGAAACAAGTTAATGATGTTTTTGGCAGGCTGGGGGAAGACTGGAAAACTAATAGTGATTAACACTTAAAATATTTTGACTTGTAGGCAGCAGATTAAAGACGGAGTTGAAAATACATTGTTTAAAATTGCTTGGTGGCAATCAGAGTTTCTTAATGTTTCTCTGAAGCAAAATAAATTTTAAAATCAGGGTAAAGAAGACATCCATTTCAATTTAGATAAAATGAGGTAAATGT